TTTTTTCATTAATTATTATTATTTATAATTTAAAGTATTTAATTCATTTAATTAAAGTTAACAACTAATTAAAACAAACACCTCATAAACTAAAATTATCATGGCCATTGATATTATTTGGGAATGGTCTTGATGTTTTCTCCCTACGAGTTTTTTGGCCTTTCAATCCCATCAATAAATTTTAAATTCTAACGAACACAATATTGTTGTCTTTAATTAGATTGGAAATGGGAGGTTAACTTTATACGCAATATGATCCAAATATTGTGAGACTAAAAAAAGAAAAAGAAGGTGTTATATTAATATATTATATAATTAATGAATATGTGGAGAATGGCGGTTTGTTTTTTAACTAAAAAAAAGGAATACGTGTGTAGTTTTACTTGCTTCTATTCCATCTATATATTGCGTGTTACAGACAATGAAGTATAAAGGGAATATGATTTTTTTTCTTTTTTAATTTCCTTTGACAATGGAGAACACTGATTCACATCCAAATTACTTTAGCCCATTTGTCAAAAGGAAAACTTCACAATTTTCGGCTTTTCCCCGCTATCTTCTTCTTCTCCCCCCACTCCCTCCTTTTTTTTTTTTTTTTTTTGTCAAAGTTTGCTTTTATTGTTTTTTGATTCCCTCTGTCCTTTTCATTTTAGTAAAAATAAAAAATTAAAATGATAGTTATAAGGTCACATATTACTTTAACTTTTTTTTTTTTTTTTTGACCAGTGAAAAATTAGAGGATGGGGGAATAGTTACACTGATGCTGCATAGGCAGCTTGAACCTTTGACATAGAGCCAAGAGCTTGAACCCTTGACACAGAAGCCAAGAGCGTAGGTGCACTGCCATCGCGGTTAAGGCCACAAGTGCTATTACTTTAACTTTTTAAGTATATAATTATAAGATATTTTTATATAATTGATTTTTTTATTTAAAATTTATTTATAATATTATGTGACAAAGACTCATTTTATAATATATTATAATTATAAATATATAATTTTAGGTAATATTAGTTAGAATATCATTATCAACATTGTTATAG